GCCTGGGAACGTCTTGAGTCCCCCAGGACGAGCTGGATAAAATCACAACTCTAATTCAAGCAGAGTAGCCTATTGTCAACATAATTATGGAGTGTGATTTATTTTCAACTCAAAATATCTTCAAACTAATGAAATATAAAGTTATTAGTGAAGAAAACCCATCTGGATAACAGCAGACTGACTGTTCGTAAAATATACGACAGGTCTGGACCACTCGTAAATTTTGTTCGTATTTGAAAAAAATCTTAGAATACGAAAACATTGGTGAATGCCACAAATTGTCCTAAATCACTCGTACGCACAATTTAAGAACAAATCTGTGCGTACGAACAGTTCTTGCATGAGGCCCATTGAGTTGCTGCTGTGTGACTGGCTGATTCGACATTTGTGTTAATGAGCAGTTGGACAGGTGGACCTAATAAAGTGGCCAATGAGTGTAATTTTAATTTAAAAAAAACATTGGTCAAAGGTTTACAAAAGAGGATTAGATCCACAAAGCAAATAAAAAAATAAAAAATAAACGTCAACTATTTTTTTCCTGAGTTCTGACTTTTTTCTCTCAGAACTCTGAGAAAAGACAGAGTTCTGATTTTTTTCCAGAATTCTGAGATTAAAATCTGAATTCTGACACTTTTTCTCATAATTATCAAGAAGTCAGAATTTTGAGGAAAAAGTTTGACTCTGACTTTAATCTCAGAGTTCTGAGAATAAATTGTCTGCACAACATTTATAAATATTTTGACCAACCTCAGAATTCTGAGATTAAAGTCAGAATTCAGGAAAAAATAATATATTTTTTGCTCTGTGGTCAAAATCCTCTTCTGTAAAGTTTTAAACTGGAGTCCGGAGAATGTTTTTTTCAAGTACATCAGTATCAATCATTAATTATTTTACAAACCTTTGCTGAAAGATAACAACAGTAAAAAATACTCCTATCAGAAAACAAGATGTTTTGCACTCAGACATAGCATAGTAGAAATTATGCTCACACTTTATAACAGTGGAATCATTTCAAGCTCACTGCATGTAAAAGTGACCCAAATCTGATTTTTATTTTGCCCATATTCGGCCCATTTCATGTTTTTTTAAGACAGTTTGAATGTAGGAATTTTTTTTCTTCAAATCAAGTCTTTTCATATATGATATTAAGTTGGATACATATCCAGTGTTTTTCAAAGCATCTACTGTCTGAATGGTCATGTTGTGTTTCATCAAATTTTAACATCGGTAGAGGTTTACAGATCGATCCAGATATTGATATTATYGATACCAATGCCATGCATTTTAAAAGCTTAGAAATCTACACGTCTTCAGCTACTGCACAAAAGTCCAGTTGGTTTGTCTTTATTTTTATTTTCTAGATTTGTCATGTCCTGGACACCAACATGTGATGTCATGCTACACTTTTTAAACCAAATACCTTCCCTGTTTTAAGACCAGATCCAGGGGTGCTTTCTGTTTATGCTACTAGAGTGAACATTGAGAAATTACTGTTCTATTCACAAGACTGTTTACTCATTAACTGATAAAATACTGGATTTTTTTGTAAGAAAGCTTAAATATAAGTATTGACAATGAACAATGTGTTATTTTTAATATAAAACACTTTTTTATTGAAGTCATGAAACTGAAGTTGATTGAACTACTTGACAAGATAATTTCACAAGTAAAGACTTGTCTCTTCTAGTATACAATGTGAGCGTAACCCCAGACCACGGGGACATGACGTACAGGCTGACGGATCTTAGTCCAGGCCAGGAGTACAAGGCTTGGATCAGAGCTGTGACTGTAGCTGGACCCGGCTCAGACTTCACCACAACATTCAAAACAAAGCACCGGGAAGACTTCGGTAATCATAAAATCTTAATTTTTGTGCGATTTCTGTTGGTATTTTGTGAACCTTTTGTTAGAATTTGTGTTATTAAGGATTTGAAAAGGTGGATGGAGCATATTTTTATATTGACCTCTTTTTCTCAGAGTATTTAATTCCCATCCTGGTGCCAACTGTGCTGCTGGCCATCATAATTATTGTACTTTGGTAAGATTATCATGTTAAACTTGTCTGTTTTATGTTGTGTTCATTATCACTTAATGCCTGTTATCAGTCAGCCACAAAGATAGCTTAAATGAAATAAAAATTATGCATATGGAATAATATTTGTGAAGTCCGAATGAATTTTTAAAATGCATTCCCATCTGGCTTCAATTAGAACAACGTCTGCAAAACATTTATGGATATTTTGATCAACCTCAGTATTTTACCGCATTTATATTTGAAAAATTGTGTCTTTTGCTGTTTTGTGCCTTCCGGTGTTTGCAGCGGGACAAAAAAAATGTGGTCACTTTGTCTCAATGGGAAAGTGCCAGATCCTCGCAACAGCCACATCTTTAAACACATGAAGCTCCAAGTAAGACAGTCAACAACTTGTACTTACTTTCTGTTGACAAACCTGAACCTTAGTTTAAGCTGTCTGTTTGCTCTCTCTGTAGATTAATGAGCCCTTGACCTGGATCTGCATTCCCCTSTATGAGCCGAATCCCAAGATCTCGTTACTGGAAGTTGTTGAAATTCAGTCGAAGGTTGTAGACACAGATGGAATCAACAGGACAGTGATGAAAATTGGTTGTTCTCAGATGGACTGCAGAGACATTCAGAAGGAGGAAACTATCACAGAGGAGAACGACAGTAAGGACCATAGATATGGAAGAGAGGAGTACAGCAAAATGATCGACTCGGACGAAGAACGGAATGAAGAGAGCTCATCAGAGGATGAGCCATTTACCTCAGGTTATGAAAAGCACTTCATGCCTAGTCCTCTGGAAATCCTGCAAAACTGACACCTTTGCACAGGAYCATGGGCATTCATTTAAATGTATTTGTTTTTTCCATATTTTTATACTGAAATAAGATCACATTCTAGGCTCCTATAGTCTCTGCAAAATAATTTCAAAATCTTACAACCCTCTTCTCTTTTGTCTTGTAGTTTGCTTTTTGGAGGATATTTACTCTGTAAATTTGAGTAATGTGTTTAACAACACATTTTTCTTTTGAATGTCTGTTACCTTTTCCATTTCATTGACCACCTGTGAAATATTAACTAATTAATTGAGAGCAATAGTTTACAATGCATGCTTTATATCAGCATCTTTGGTGGGAAAATGTTGACAGTAAATGGATGTATATGTATATATTTTTGACAAGCTGCAAATCAAGCTGAATGTTTTCAATAATTTTAATGCATTTTTGTATTAAAGTCTTAAATCATGTCTTTATATTACACCTCCAACGAGTCTTGTTTAATCTCTGACACACACAAAAATGTATTTTAGCACCAACAAAGTGAGTCCTTGAGCTAAAAACTTGATCAACTGAACGGTGATATATTTCTACCAAGTCTTTAGCTATATTTCTAATTTTTCTAAAAGAAATGGCTTTCATATACTTTTAATCTGCTGTCAATTTTTTTAGGCTTGACACTTCTTTTTTCCTCTGCTTGTCCCCTTTCACAAAATTTGCTGTGAAAAAAGCCAAAGTATAGGATTGATGAAAAATAATAATAGCAAGTAAAACTATCAGACTAGCAAGTAAGACTATCAGATAGACTTTCAGAAAGGCCAGAAAAATGCCACTATAACCACTAAATTCAACATACTGTGTTTATTTTGGGAACAAAGTACAAAAAACTTMATTTGTCTGCTTCTTTTCGAAGTTCCCGGGAGAACCGGATAATCTCGCGATAATACCTAAACGTGCGCTGAACGGAAGCCGCAGTAGGTCAATTTCTGTCGGCGTGCTCATTTGAACAAGAGGCTGAAGAGGAGCAGGGGCCCAGCACCGATTGTCTAAATTGTAATTCAACATTGTACGTACAGATTTAGTGTCTGCTTGAAATTAAATTACATTATTACTTAGTCTTGAGGTAAATAAACGTTGTTAAAGCGTTAAATATCTGGGTTAGCTCAGGTCGTATCTTTAGCATTAGCTAAAGGCGGTTTAGCGGCTAGCAGTAGTGTAGCAAAACGTGTTCAGCGAGTTTGCAACGTACAGGCTGCTGTTGCTCCTCTAGTATTGGAAATACTATAAGAGCTCGATGTTTTTAGTTTTGTCTGATATTTTCGTAGAGAGCTCACGTCCTTTTACATATCACCAGTCGGCTACGTTTTGTTAATTCTCACGCCGGGCACATGATCGCTTAGCCGGCGTACTGTACCGTGTCGACCAGGCCTGAGGAACTTTGTTGCTTCAGGAATCAGGTCAGCGTGTAAAAGATAACTAATCAACAGGTAAATTAACAGGTTACGGATGGATTTTCCCCCTTCTTTTTTACGAAAAACTGGAATTCAAAGTAGAGTAAAACAAATATCTTAAAAAGTGGATGGTGTGTTTGTGTTAACTTTGTTTTATTTTAATGATTTGACTACTCAAACGACCTCCTCGGAGAGCTCGTGCTGTCCACGTACATATATATAAGTTGGAACAAAAAGTACTAAAAGACCGGGTGCCGTGGGGGTGGAGGTAGGATTAGCCTAAGCTGGGCCACAGAGATTTTATCAGGCCGTTTCGGCTGATGTCTTTGTTTTCGTGTCTCGGGCCAGTGTATATTTGAGTTTCAATTTCGATTCAGCAAAAAAAAAATAAAATAAAAAATCTCATTTCTCACTAATAGTTCATATTCTAAATTCTATGGTGGCCATACACGTGGACGCTTCCGGGTGTTWATGACTTATCATGGAAGTTGCTCTGTTTGACCATCCGATGCATTTTTTGTTGTCTGRATTTAAGTGTTAAAAATGTAGGTTTTAGCAGTCATCATCTGAAGCTGATCCACTCTATAAAAGTCAAATATCACCTCTGGATGCACATTCTTCAAATAAAGTACATTTAATTAAACCTTATGCAAATACTCTTAAGTACATAAATCTTTGTACTTCTCTAAACATAAAATGTGGACTTGGAGATGATGCATTAAAACCAACTGACTGTGACTGATGGTTTTTGTATTCATACTGTCTGATCCAGAGTCCACGTGCTACCTTACACATTTCATCCTATTCCTCCTATTAATACTTGCAAATTATAACAGAGGAACTTCTAAAATCTGGATTCATTTTGTGGTTTACAGGATGGATTGGCAGCCCGACGAGCAGGGACTTCAGCAGGTCCTCCAGCTGCTTAAAGACTCTCAGTCGCCTGACACAGTCATACAAAGGACTGTCCAGCAAGTATCCTACTGCAATGTGATTTTTRTATTGGTGATAGTAACCTCCATGGCATATTTATTATTGTTTTACAACTTGTGCYGCAGCAGTTTGTCTGACATGTATTAGAACTGAAGTATACATGTTTACAACTCAAGCAACACATGTAAAAGTCTAGAGATTAGCACTTAAATGCAAAAGAAAACCCTGTAGGAAACGCATTGACATTTGACTTACTTTAAATTCAACTGGTGCTCACTAGTAAAGATGTATACGTGCCACGTTCAGTCCATGCTTCCTAATCATTAAGAATTGGTGCGTTCAAATGTTAGATTCTCTCCATCAGAGATTAGCTGCATAATTTGGAAAGTGAAATGCTCCTTAACCGTCTTGCTAGAAACTTGAACAACTCAATGGGTTTCCTGACTTCAACAACTATCTCATCTTTGTCCTCACACGACTCAAAACTGAAGGTGAGTTGTTTTTTTTTTTTCATCTGTTACTAACTCAGACCAGTTGGCCATGGTTAGGTTTAGTGTTTTTTTAATAGAAAAAACAAAACTGTGCTTCACTTGATTTTGTAACTTTTACATTTGCTATTGTTAGAGTAACCTTTTTTTTTTTTTACCATGAGTTCATACTTCAATTTAAAAGTTTTATAATCCACCTGTGAAACTTCATTCACTAAATGTTAAAGAGAACAAAACAAGAACATGTATTTAGGTTCTTTAAAGCCACCTCAGGTGAGGCAAAATTGCATAAATTTAGATGTCAGAGTTTGTCTCTTTGGCTTCTCTACTATAAATCACTCGTTTGATGTTTAGCATTTTTTCTTTCCGGTTGTACAGATGTAATGGCACATTGCTGTAATCTGACACTGGTAGATCTAATAATGACATTACTAGACATGCTCACTTCCTGTTTCCCCACAGCTGCTTTTGTGTGTTCACTTGGTTTTAGAGGAGTGAGTAAAATCTTACGTTGTATATGAAGACCTATAGTTGCACATTTTAATGCCATTTTTTTAATTTTTTGGATACATGATCCCAGTCAGTTTTACAAAAATAGAAAGATTCAAACAAAAGCTGGTGCTAGGTGTGTTTTCTGATGCAATAGATTCATGTAAGTTTGCCTCCAGAGCAAAAAAAAAAAAAAAAAAACATGGAGAAGGCAAACCTCTTGCTTCTGAACAGTCACCAAGCAACTGGACTCAATAACTAAACACTAGAATTTTATTCATGGACTTTTCATGCTTTTAACACAGTAAAAATCAACACATTGTATCACCTCTCCAACCTTAAGGTTCACGTTGCTCTGCTTTTATGGATTAAAAAAAAGCTGTTTACAGCAGGGTCTATTTAAATAGAAATAAACTGAATTAACTTCACCTTTTATCCAGTATCTGTCACATTGCTCATGCACAACTGGTTTTTATTATTTCTTCTCAGACGAGCCGACTCGCTCTTTAAGTGGTTTGATACTGAAAAACAATGTCAAGGCCCACTACCAGAACCTCCCTCGGGCTGTTTCGGATTTCATCAAACAGGAATGCCTCAACAACGTTGGTGATCCCTCACCACTCATCCGTGCCACCATCGGTAAGATTATTTGCTCCGACGTCGATGTGGCGGTGTTTCTTTGTCACGTGACTCTTTCTGTTTGTTTCTGGAGATGATGCATAAAAACCTCTGAGTTCCTGTGAAGGTGTTTGTATTCATACTGTCTGATCCAAAGCTGTTGCAAAGGTAGCTGCGTGTGGTTGTGTTGATTATTAATATTCAGGCAGATTTTTTTTTATCTTCTACTGTAGGCATCCTCATCACTACCATTGCCTCCAAAGGAGAGCTACAAACATGGCCGGAGCTGCTGCCTCAGCTCTGCAACTTACTCAACTCAGAGGACTACAACACCTGTGAGGTAAGCAACAACCTGATCACAGCTTTTTTTTGGCTCATAAAAGCCTTAACTAAACTGAAACATGGCTCTTATATCATTTAGTGTTAGAAATGTGCTGAAAATTTTCTTATTTTTTCACACTGAGTCACATACTGACCCGTACCTTAAACATAAGACATGAAATATAATCTCTTGTGAAGCTAATGTGATTTGATTTATCAACATTTAATCCAGCAAAAGGACAATGCAGGTGTTAGGAGGAGWCATAAAATTGAAACACATAAATGTCATTCACAAAATCTTGTTAGTAAATAATAAAATATGCAATTGTTTTATATTTGTGCTCCTAAAAGTCACTGTGCTGTCATTCCCTTTGCTCCCGTTTGATTTTCTGATGCCGTCTCGTCCTCTCCTCTGTGTCCGTGTATGTTTGCGTTTTGATTTGACAGCCTCTCTGTGTATGTCCGTGTCTCAGGGCTCGTTCGGTGCGCTGCAGAAGATCTGCGAGGACTCGTCTGAGCTGCTGGACAGTGACGCTCTGAACAGGCCCCTCAACTTTATGATTCCTAAATTCCTTCAGTTCTTCAAGCATTGCAGTCCAAAGATTAGGTACAGGAGAGAGCAGAAAGTGTTGTTTGACAAAGGAATCTGGGTGTGATGCAWACTAACATCTGACTGACGGTGAAGGTGTTTGAGTATTCATACTGTCTGATCCAGATACTCTGATGTCCCTGACATTTTTAGCTTCTTATTTTATTTCATATTAAACTTGGTTTTTTTTTGTTTGTTTTGTTTTTTTTTTAGCTCAGAAAATGTTAAAGTGGGGAGGTTTTATTGTAGCAGAACAAAGAATGCTTTGAACATCTGTATAATGACTCTAAACCTAAAACCTATTGTGAGACAAGCTGCCCTTCAGATGTTTTTGTTTTGATTTGATGTGGTTATTCCTCATGTCATCCTGTAGATCTCATGCTATAGCCTGTGTGAACCAGTTTATCATCGGCAGAGCCCAGGCTCTAATGGAAAACATTGACACCTTCATCGAGGTAAGTTGTGTGTTTTGAGGTTGTTTTTTAAATTTGAATGAAAGAGCTCCTTTTGATTATATTTTGTGCTGCCTTTCAGAGCTTGTTTGTGCTGGCAGCAGATGAAGACGCGGAGGTCAGGAAGAATGTGTGCCGAGCTTTGGTCATGTTACTGGAGGTCCGCATCGACCGTCTCATCCCCCACATGCACAGCCTCATCCAGGTGAATGCTGAGTCGCACATCAACATGAGAGACAACTGTGTGCTGCCTGGACATGATGAGAAACCCAGCTCGTTGATTGTTCCTTTATGATACCTTAAGTTCCTTTATTTTCTGATCCAGGTGCTGGAAATCTGCTAGTATTTTTGCACATTTGTGAGTTTATCCATGACGTTTCCACATCTTGTTCCTTTTTCAGTACATGCTGCAGAGAACTCAGGACCCTGAYGACAACGTGTCTCTGGAGGCCTGTGAGTTCTGGCTGACTATAGCAGAACAACCTATTTGTAAAGAGGTTCTGTCCGGACACCTTGTGCAGTGAGTCGCTTATGAACTGTTAAAGGAGGCTGTAAATTTCAATGATTAAATTATTCACTATGTTGCATTTRTCAATTTTTAATCGCTTGTTTTTCTGCAGACTGATTCCAATCTTGGTAAACGGAATGAAGTATTCAGAGATTGATATCATAATACTGAAGGTAAGAACTAAAATCCATTAGTTTACTGTTGAGTGCTCTTACACACACACACACACACACCCTAAAACTGTGGCTCTCTGTACCACAACCACTGTGGAGCCACCTCACAAACAGTTAATAATAAATGTAAAAGCTGAAGTTGCATCAACAGGTTTATCAATTCAAATCAGCCATATTTCAGATGATTATAGCTGCGGTGCTTTTACTCCTCACTCCAGGGTGACGTGGAGGAGGATGAGATGGTGCCCGACAGTGAGCAGGACATCAAGCCTCGTTTCCACAAGTCGCGCACCGTCACCTTGCAGCACGGAGGAGAGGAGGGGGAGGACTACGAAGACGACGACGACGATTCCCTGTGCGATTGGAATCTGCGTGAGTGATGAGAAATGCAGCTACCTGTAGAAACGGGTTTGGTTYGAGTCTGCCTTGCTCATTCTTTCTGCGCTAACATGAGTTAAAATTGGAGGAATTTAAACAGGTTTTGTTGTTTTGTTGTAGGGAAGTGTTCGGCGGCTGCACTTGATGTTCTGGCCAAYGTGTTYGGTGACGACTTGCTGCCCCACCTCCTGCCGCTTCTCAAAGGCCTGCTCTTCCACCCTGACTGGGTTGTCAAAGAGTCTGGCATCTTGGTTTTGGGGGCCATTGCTGAAGGTATAGCTCATGATTTAAAAAAAAAACTGCTGCTCTTACAGCCCAGAGGTTGCATTTATAAAACTTGCTTATGCAAAAAATGGAGCCAGAAACTTGCATAGTCATTTCACACACAGGTTCTGATTTATAAAACCCAAACTTGGTGTGAAATGTGCGGTTTCTCACCGCCAGTTCTGACTCGTGTGTTTAAAAGCTTTCTTAACAAGACTAGTTATGCTTCTGCTGATGAGCCGTAAGGACCTTTTGAAATTAAGGACCTCCTAAGCCATCTTAAATTTTAATAAAAGTTCAAGCATCTGAATCCAYCCCCATCCTGGCCTCCCCTCTTCCTGAGACGACCCTGGCCCACATCCCCTCCTCGACAAGAAAATTCAAGTAACYGAGGGTGATGGTGGGGCTGGGTGGTCAGCTGCAGCGCAAAGCAGGAGGGAAGGACGGGAGAAGAGCGGTGAACTTATTTCTAGYGACAAAACAGTTGGGTTAATTAATTTTTATTGATTTTAACGTCCTACAGGCTCAGAAAAAAATTATATCAAGTTGAGTTTTTGGAAAAAAAATCCATAAGATTACTCTTAACTGTAAACCTGCAAAATGTAGGGAAATATGTAAATTACAATCTGTTCATGTGAGCAGTCATCAGCACCTGTCCTCTTCCAGATGCATGATGAAGTTTGTCTGAGCTTTTGTTGACATTGATCAGCTGACTGATKTAAATACATCTCAACATTCATGAGGTACTTTGCATTGACAGTTTATGGTTGAGTGTGGTGGTGTAGAGGGCAGAACCTGAGGCGGGACCTTGAGGTGCAGCTGTGATCTATAAAGAAAAATTACTTGAAGGTGTGCGAGCGCACAGTTTTATAAATCTRAATTCTTTTGGTCGTACGTTCACATTTAGCATGAATTCTATGCAATCCTTTGAGACCCCAGAACCTTTTTATAGATACAYTGTCCACTTCAGACATATTTCATATTGAGTTTTCTGTAACAAACTGTTCTTTGATTGAAGCTAAAAAAAATGTCCAGGAAATTATGCAGCATGTCATTGATGCAAATCAAAATGTGTGCATTTAAACGTGATTCATCCAGTAAACATCAAGTATTTGAAAATGTGATTTGTTTTTGTATTCTGCTAAATCACATCAGAAATAATTGCTCTAAATTATTTATTAAAGAAGGTTTAAAATAATATTTCTGTTGTTAAATATTCCTCTGTTCTTTGTGTCCTCGTGGCCCAGGCTGCATGCAGGGCATGGTGCCCTATCTGCCAGAGCTCATCCCCCACCTCATCCAGTGTCTGAGTGACAAGAAGGCCCTGGTACGCTCCATCGCTTGCTGGACCCTGAGTCGCTATGCACACTGGGTAGTCTCCCAGCCCCCCGACTCCTACCTCAAACCACTTATGACGGAGCTTCTGAAACGTATCTTGGACAGAAACAAGAGGGTGCAGGAGGCTGCCTGCAGGTGAGCAGTTCTTCTTTTTCTTGTTTTAACTTCTCTGTGTTTTGTGGACATGATGAAACACCCAGCTCATTGATAAACAATGATACATGTTGTTCCCAATATTATTTTTCTGATCCACATCCTATTTTAAATTTTTTAATCTAATGAACAGCATTTATTTATTTGATTTATTAACATATTGATCTGCATTTCTTAGTGCTTTTGCCACTTTGGAGGAGGAGGCATGCACAGAGCTGGTGCCCTACCTGAGTTTCATCCTGGACACGCTGGTGTTTGCCTTTGGGAAGTACCAACACAAGAACCTGCTCATCCTGTATGATGCCATTGGAACTTTGGCAGATTCAGTCGGTCACCACCTCAATCAGCCTGTAAGTGTTTTCARMCTGACCACAGTATGCATAACATTTYCCCCTTTTTTATGTTTTGTTTTAYGTAAGGAGAAGGCAGTGAACTRTTCAGCATAGAGCACAGACAGGAAATACAATGGATAAAGTTAGGGTGCCAAAGTCTTAAAACTTGTGCCTCTGGGGTAATTTTGATGCCTGTTTTTATTAAATGTAACGGTTCAGGACTTTGTTTTATGTCTAATGAGAATGAAATCATGAAAATAAATAAGCGYATTTGCACAAAAACTGTCCTGTTCCCTTTTAAATTTCATGCTGAACTGACTARAGTTTTGTTATAGGAGTACATTCAGAAGTTGATGCCTCCTTTAATTGCAAAATGGAACGAGCTTAAGGACGAAGAYAAAGACCTTTTCCCACTATTAGAAGTAAGTAGGCACAAAAAATGTTTTAAAAACAGTCTGTAWAACAAACAATGACTAAAAGATTCAATAAATAAGCTCTAGACCTCAGACTTCAGTTATATTTTTGTATAGATTCATCAAATCTTGATTTTCTTTCAGTGTCTGTCRTCAGTAGCTACAGCCCTGCAGAGTGGCTTCCTGCCGTACTGTGAACCAGTCTATCAGCGCTGCGTCACGCTGGTGCAGAAGACCCTCGCTCAGGCTATGGTGAGACTTGAAACCAAATAAACAGTTCGTGTGTTCAGACCTTCTCACCTAAAGTAGTAGAGGGAATGAAATGAATCCTCTGTCTTCAGATGTACAACCAGCATCCCGACCAGTATGAGGCTCCAGACAAGGATTTCATGATCGTGGCTCTGGATCTGCTGAGCGGACTGGCGGAGGGTCTTGGGAGTCATGTGGACCAACTTGTGGCTCGCTCAAATATCATGACACTGCTGTTCCAGTGCATGCAGGTATCGTGGAGAATTTCACATTTTCACTCATTTAAATCTGTTGTTTCTGTAAAGGGATTCAAGTGTAACAGTGAGGTTTGTGACAGGATACTATGCCTGAAGTGAGACAGAGCTCCTTCGCCCTGCTGGGTGATCTGACGAAGGCGTGTTTCCCCCACGTGAAACCCTGCATCGGTGAGTGAGTTTTACCTGAAGTAACTTACATCGGCTGTCTTCTATCAGGGAATACACCGACTTGTTTGTTTTTATTTASTTAGTTATTTCATACTAGTGTTTTAGCTAAATACTGTTTATCCTTAATGTTACAGAAAGGAAAGTGTAAAATGATTTTTAGTTTTATAACCAGTTTATTTCCTCTCCTCCAGCTGAGTTCATGCCGATCTTGGGGCTCAACCTGAACCCAGAGTTTATCTCTGTGTGTAACAACGCCACCTGGGCTATTGGAGAGATYGCTATGCAGATGGGTAAGAATATTACATGTGGATCCATGTTGAATTAATGTGAAGTTGTCAATATCTGGACATGATGAAACACCCAGCTCATTGACACAGAGTGATACATTTTGTTCCCATTACATGTTCTGATCCAGATATTGTGAACTTTTGTGTTGCGCTGACCTCTGTGTGGTAGAGCTTCATTTGTGTGGTTCAGATTATCTTCAGGTCTGTACAACCTGCTGACTTTGATTTAGATAAATTGTTTCTTTGGCTATGAGCTCATGCTGCAGACTGCACCTGGCAGATGTTTGACATCTGTATAAAGCTTGGGCAGCCTTTTGATAAACTTTGTTTAAATGTGAAAACGTTTCTCTGAAACCTTTAGCTCCATGGATTCATGAAAATGATAATCAGTAAATATTATGTGTTTTTTTTAAATTAAAGAGCTATCTGCTAATTCAAGCCATTTCCTGTTTTTAGCTACTTTCCAATAATTTGAGCTTTTAATTTTTTTAGCTAAATTTACCTTTTGTGGTAAATACATCTACTTGCTGCTTAGTTCAGCAAACATGTTCTTTCTGTTTATTTGTGCTAATTTAATCTACTTTTCTAGCTATTTTTAGGCTAGTTTCAGCTTATTTTGTAGCCATTTCTAAACAAATTGCAGTTTTTTATACTACCTGTTCGTACTAATTTGAAATTTATCACTCATTTCTCTGTCTGTTGATTTTAATTTTCCTTTTTTTTTAGATTTGTTTTGCTTATTGTAGCCCTTTTATTCAGATTTTTGGACTTTCCTTTCCTTTTTTTTTTACAGGTTTTCAATTATGTTGTGCTACTCTCAGCAAAAGTTATATTTTCAAATTTAACTAACCATTTGAATTTAAACTCTTTCAGCTTGATKTCAGCAAAATCTGTTAGCAACAAACATTCACACTGAATTTTTTTCATACCTTTTTTTTCGCAGGAAATGCAATTTCTGTAGTTTTACTTGTTTTTTGTCCTTTTTTAGGTGCTGAAATGCAGCCCTATGTGGGCATTGTCCTGCCACAGCTGGTAGAAATCATCAATAGACCCAACACGCCTAAAACTCTACTGGAAAACACAGGTACAGATGCTTACAAATGCATTTAAGTTGTCCAAGTGATGGCCACAGAGTTGGTGTGAACTGGTTTTGTCTTGTCTCTCCATGTGCAGCCATTACAATCGGCAGGCTTGGTTTTGTCTGTCCTCAGGAAGTGGCTCCACAGCTGCAGCGTTTCATCAGACCATGGTGAGCCTTTTCTGTGAATGGTTCATGCAGATTCTGTGAAATTGTGACCCATTACATCAAAATTAGGATTAAGTGCGATTTGTTCAAAATGACCTAATTATATTGTCAGATTCTTAACTATAAACTAACTATATAAAAGTTACATTTTGATACTTAAATCATCCCAATATCATTAGTAGATCAAGAGATACTATTTAATTTGTCTTGTTGGTTATAATACATAAATATTCCCTCATCAAAAACATACCCAGAGTGTTGCTTTGACTCATTCATGCATGTTTGAAAAATTCTTGACTCTCCTGTGGTAACCATGTGGAGCTGCTTAAACACTTCCTGGTACAAAGCACCGCCCATTTGTACAAAGCGTCTCAGTGGAAACCAGTCCCCAGCTGAGCTCCGGCCCCACAGAGCACCCCTCCCCTGAAGCTTTATCATCAACATGTGCTGAAGTGGGCGTGTCTGAAATTCTGACTTAATCGATCTTTTTGTTTCTCCTTCAGGTGCACGTCATTGAGGAACATCAGAGACAACGAGGAGAAGGACTCTGCTTTTCGGGGAATCTGTGTTATGATTCAGGTTAATCCTGCAGGAGTTGTGCAGGTTAGGAGAAGGATTCTTTTAAAGAGATTCCACATTTTTTCCTTGTGTTAATAAATATTTTGCACTCTCTGTGTTCAGGACTTTATTTTCTTCTGCGATGCTGTGGCTTCGTGGGTCAACCCAAAAGATGACCTGAGGGACATGTTTTACAAGGTGAGCGTCTCAGCAGGAAAACACAGATCATAGATGGATGTGTAGCTCTGGCTCACCACACTCTGTGATGATCACCCATCAGACACTCGAAAACTGATTCACAAAGTGAGGATGATTTTGATCCTGAGAGATGTGGTGAAACCTTGTTTCCAGAAACTTCTTTATATTCARTAGAACATCAAGATATATATGAATAAAGATGAGCCAATTAGTGATTGGCTATGTTTGTGTCCTCTTTAGGCTTTTAAAACAAGAGTGGAAGAAGGTGATTCTTGTGTTTTTGTGCTGTGGTCTAAGCTACAGTTGTCCTTTTAAAGTACGTTAAAGTACCTGTGGCATCAAGTTTTTATAATAAATATGAATGTACTTTTGGAAAGATAACCTTGACAACTTATTGTAAATAAATTTCACGCTGCTCAGATGAACAGTGAATGTCTGAATGTAAACAGAGCATTGCTACAGTGGCCAACAACACAGACTGTAGAGAAGAAACAGATGTTTAGTTTGAGTCACTATCAGAGAGATGAAGAGTTTGAATCATAGTTTCACTAAACAAAGAATATAGAGTTCCTTTTCTTAAAGAGTTCCCTTTTGAGCCAAATTTAAGAGAACGAGTTCTGCAACAAAATATGTAAGATTGTATCATGCTACATTTCTTAAATAAAAAGTTTTTCTTTGTCTTTTTGTGTTTGAAGTATATTCACATCACAAGCACTTTAAAAACTTAGACTTAACTATAAAAGACAAGTATGATTAAGAGATTTATACTAAAGCAGTCCAGTCATTAACTGGGTTGGCATAACTTTAACAGACTTTTCTTTTTTAAGATCCTGCACAGCTTCAAGGACCAGGTTGGAGAGGAGAACTGGCAGAAGTTCTCAGAGCAGTTCCCTCCTATGTTGAAAGAGCGCCTGTTGGGCTGTTATGGTGTCTAACACGACCCTTTCCTCGGTCCACTGGCCTTTTGGGTAAGTCCATGTCACAAGTAAACAACCTACTTGTTCTGGATGTGATGAAACACCCAGCTCACTGAGAACTAATGATATATTTTGTTCCTATTCTTTTTCTGATCCAGAACCTCAAACACAGCTGCAAAGTCTGACCACTGAGCTACTCCTGCTTTTATTTAAAGTGACCCTTTTTTGTTTTTCTGTTTTTTTTCCCCCTCAGGTTAATGAATGGGAGGGTAACAGGGGAACTCATTGCACTGCCCAAATCACAGGGAGGAACTCAAACTGGAGCGACACGACGAGCCTCGAACCTCCGTGGCGCAGATGTCCTCCTTTCTCCGTGCGCTGTTCGTCTCCATTAGGGAGGGTGGGAGGAGGGTGGTGGGTGTGGGAGGGTAAACTGGGGATATACACATACCTCTCAGATGAAATCGCCTCCCTGCGACACACTCTGAAGCGATTTTCGCCAACACCAATGCAGGGATCCAAAGCAGGCGAGGGCACAATCAGGGCAGAGCTGGACCGCCCTCGTTTCTATTGGATCATCCTCATGAAATAAATGTTTGGAACAAGAGGAGGGGTGGCCAATGGTTACGAAAACAAATGGTCCAAACCAGCATAGGGTGCCACAGTCCCAAAAACTAAAACGCATGTAGAACGAGTCACATGTAGCTGTGTGGAAACAGGCTTGTGCCAGAGCCTGAATGGAAAAATAGATGCTTATACTGTGCACAGGAGAAAAACGAAAAACTTTCGCACCTTTTACTGCAAACTGCATAACTTTACGGTATGCATTCACATGAGTTTGTCCTTAAATGTACATTTAGTTAAATTTGTATCTTTATTGTTGCAGAGTTCTTCTCCAAATGTAGACTTTAATTTATTTCTCCTCAAATGAGCCAATAAAGATGCAGTACCTCTGTCCTCTTAAGATTGAAACCAAAACACTGCATGATCACTTCTTTAGTTCCACGTTTCTGTGAATGTGTTTTTTACTTTTTATTTTTTCAGTTTATAGCATTAGTAATCAGTTTTAGTAAGCTGTCATAATTGCAAGACTGTCCAGTTATCTAATCATTCTCTGTATAGTTTTAGTTTAGACTGTAGGTGGAATAATTCAGGATTTGGCTCATGTTTGATGATTGTTAACCCAACAAGAGTTGATATACTGTAGGCAGATCGGGGATCCTATATGCTGCTGTTGCTTTTAGTATATTTAAATAATGAAGTTTAATGAAGATGTCTTCATAATATTTTTTTAAACTGGTTTAAATGCACTTTTTTTGTGAGAATTGTAAAATTACAGTAATTTACTCAAACAGGTTTTTTTTTTTTTTAATTTTGGTAAGTGAATCTAGAACTGTTGGAAGCATAATGATATTGTTAAGCAAAAGTATATTAACTTGCCACGACGTGTTTTTGTTAATCACAATGTAGCTCTGATAATTGACTAATTAGAAATAAAAGAGAGGAGGAGGGGACATATTTTGGAGTTATGTCCCACTGCTGCACTCTTCTAAGCGCCTAAGCCAGTCCCCACAGTGTATTAAAGTTTCTTGGCTGAAAGCTGTTTTAATTTTCTTTTATACATTGCATGAATTTAGTTTTTTATTTTTATTTTTGTAAATTTTTACCCTAAAAGATCTGTTGTGGACGATGCAACTAGCTGCAGCATTAATACGGTACTTCAGCTTCTGCTCAAACTTGATTATTGCCATATTTTCACTCGCTAACACTGTGTAGGTTCTGCCTGGGAATTTCTAAAATCCTGTTAGTACTCCTTTAGCTAATCACGAATGGGGGGTGGCTTTATTTTATCTTTTTGTCTTTGTTCTTAATGGACGGTTGCAAGTGTGCATGACTCTGCTTTGTGGTGTTTACAAGAAATAACTTCCAGACAATTTAGCACCAGCCCTTCTTAAAAATTATGTTTCAGAGTGTAGTTTTAAGATGTGTTGCCCCCCTGGTTTATTTCTATTTAGCCAGCCATTTAGTAGTAGGGCTAATTAAATGTTCTTAAATTGAGATCATTTTGAGGAAAAAAGTTAGAATTGTAATCCTGCCTGATTGAAACAGCATGTCACCTTATGTAAATGGGTTCTGTATTTAGAGGAGCATTAATGTGACTTCAACAAATGTGACATTTTTATTATTTTGTTGCTAATAGGACATTAAGTTCTCTAACCACTTTAAGCTTCACAGTGGGTTTAGCAGGTAGCTTTAATCACAGACTGAAGCAACGTTTAAGGTTCCTTCTAAGGATGTTTTAGTCAAATGCAGCTATTCTGATAAGATTTCCTAAAACRAACAAACCAAGCTTTGTCATCCATTGCCGTGGTTGGAGGGGGGATGCACAAAATATAAGTTAAATGCAAATCGTCAGTTTTACTTTATTTTGTTTTTATGTTGTGCTCCAGTGCACAAATTGTTTTGGACTTTAAAAGTTTTTTTTCTTTTTTATATTCTTTTATTTAAAGAGCTGTTTTGTTTGTTGTATTACAGCAGATCTACTGGTTAATTCAGATTTGTAAAGGATGAACTGAAGGCTAATCAATGCTGACGACTTGCATCTTGGAGAAAAATAAATTTACGACTTCTGTTTCACTTTGATATCAAGGCTGGCAACTGAATTTAATGTACTAGTATTTTTCTAAACAGTGGCAGGTATTATGTCATTTAATGTATCCCTTTTTATTTTGTGGATAGAAAATAAATGAGTTTTGAGTTGGCTGGAAATTGTGTGTATGATCCACGTTGAAACAGTCTTTGATGTTATGAACATAATTTACTTGTAGTGCTAGATGTTTCTGGAAATTCAATGGGGAAAACGAAATTGGCACTCTTGGAGTATGCTCATAAAGCTGTTTTGTTTTTAAATTTCTACAAAATAAAATGGCTGAATTTAAATCCTGGTGTGTCTAAACTTTTATTTTTCTACCTTTCCCAAAAATTGAAATAATTTTAACCAAAATTCCTAAATAATTTGGTGTGTTTTAAAAAAAACGTGATTACAGTGGCATCCCTTTCAGATGTTCATGAAATTGGGGAAAGCAGAATTATGCAAAACAAACGGCAAAAAAAAAAAAAAAAGGTGAAATTTTTTGAAACGTAGTCTGAAATTTAACCAAATAAAAACATTTTGTGTTCAGACCTTCTCACCTAAAGGAGAGAGAATGAAATGAATCCTCTGTCTTCAGATGTACAACCAGCATCCCGA